TCTTTCCATATGTGTATAATTGTGGATATGTACTGAAGGGGGGGGAACTGATGCTACAAGGTAAGCTATGAAACAATTACTCAAAAGTTGATGTTTCATATCTATAGGGTTGTCTGGAAAGTTATGACCTAGTTTTGCATAGAAAAACGTCATGACTTTCCTGAAAACCTAATACTTTAAAGACTTCATCGGAGGATTGTTATTAAAAAAATACTTTTCATTGTCAAACACATATTTGAGTAACTTCTGTTACAGAACAGAAAAGAGCATCTGGACATTTTTTCCTGGCTTTTTTAGAGTGGGAAGAATGGATTATATGTGTGTGTGTGTGTGTGTGTGTGTGTGCACACGTGTGCATGTATGCATGTCCAGGTGAGAAGGATTATTTTGTTATTCTAACCCAGATTTGTTCAGGTTTTACTGGCTGGTGGGAACACACGAATCCCGCCAGCTACAAGTTCTCAAAGTTAGAGACTTACTGTCCAGCTGCACATTGTGGTGCCCTGGTCTCCTGCATGAGCTCCCCTCTAAGTGATCCCGGAACCTTGGAGTTCTAGCATGTTCACATGGAAGCCCACTCTTGTAGCATAATATGGGTTACAAGTGTGGGCCACAGAACCAGGCGTGTCTGAATTCCGATCTTGACACTGCCACTTCCTAGCTCAGATGAGTTAACTTGTGGACCTCAGTTTTTTCATCTGTAAATTAATGTAATGATGAAATAAGATGATTCATGTAACATCTCACATAGTACCTGGCACATTTACAGTAAACATTTAGATTCCTTTATCTCCGCCTCTGTTTCCCTCCCAGTGGGGAGGTCTGTGTGCCAGTGGAGCAAAACGCCTTTTTCTAGTTCTGTGCTCTGTGTCATATTCTGAGCTGCTGTGGCCCAGGTGTCCGGAAACATCTGTGAAAGGTGAGACAACTCTTTCTGTTTTTACTTAGAATCTTCCTAGGGAAGTTACCGAGAACAGAGTACCGTGGGTGAAAAATGCGATGTCAGAATTGTGTTTGGTGAGAGGATGCGGATATAGCTGAATTCTCCACCAGACCTGCTGACAAATAGAAGTTGGGTCAAAGTGAGGGGCTGATAGATTTTTTCTTTAGTCACGGTAGAGGTCGGAGGCGAGGAGGTGCCATGGCAAGACCCAGGGTGCTGAGCACCGAGCCTGCTTGGGTTCACACCCAGCTGGTCTCCAGAGAAGTAGCTACTGAGAAGGATGGTGTGATTTGGGAGGCTTTTCCTAGGCCAAGTGCCCAAAGCCAAAAATGACAAGAGGCTTGCTCTGTCTTCTGTTCTAGGCCTGAACCTTCCTACTCCACCTCGAGGGCAGAGCAGGCAGGGTGGCCTCTCCAGAGAGAAGTCAGAGCACTTCCCATGTGTGCCATTCACCTCCTTTGAAAACTCCCCTACTAGGGCTGTGCCCACTGAGATCAGCAGTCCGAAAGGCAGACGAGAGGCCTTGGTGGCATTTTGTTGTTCCGTTGTTTTTGTAGTCCCCGCTGTGAGCACTGAGCCTTTCTCGAGATCTTTGTTCCCTTCTACCTGCATGGTATTCTTGCAAGGGAGAGCCATGTCCTGCTCCTTCCTTGTATAGGGTGAATTCTCCTGAGAACCGTCCCAGTTCTCATATTGCTGGTGAGCCGGCCCTGTCCCCACTGTTTCTCTTTCATCTCATCAAGTGCAGAGACTGCTCTTCCCTCTCCGTGCTTAACTATGTGAGGGGGAGGGGGGCTATTAGCAGTACAGAAATCTGCAGGGAATACAGAAAAGATAATCATAGCATCTGTAGGTGAGGATACTCTAATGGTGACTTAGTCCATTTTTATGTTGCTAACAGAGATAACTGAGAGTAGGTGATTTATAACTAAATCGGGGTTTATTAACTCGGAATTCTGGCTGCAGGAATGTCTGAGGTGTAGGCCGGCATCAGGCCTGCCCACAACATGGGTGGCAGAAGCACTGAGGATGGTGGGTATGTGCAGAGAAAGAGCCTCTGACAGTTCTCAAACATCCAGCTCTCAGAACAGCTAAGCCCTTCTCAGGAGAGCTAGGACTCACTGGGTCATCTATATATCGATGAGACTGTTGCTTTTATAATACGATCACTGTGATCCAATCACCACCCACTAGGCCTCATCACCTCTTAACTTCAAATTCCAAAACACGAAATAACTTTCTTCCTTCCTTCCTTCCTTCCTTCCTTCCTTCCTTCCTTCCTTCCTTCAAATTTGACCAAAGGGGGGCAGAGAGAGAGAGAGAGAAAGCTGCCAGGTCTGGGACTTGAACCACAGTCAGTCATGTGGGAGTCCAGTACCCTTAACCACCACGCCACCTGCCAGCCCCCAAATTTTTGAATCTTAACTGATATCCTCACCTGATGTCTTCTACTTATTCATGACCCATAACAAGGAGCTCCCTAGCATGCGTTTAATCACTGCTTGTTATATTCCTGGTCCTGTGGCCTCCTGAAAAACAGCAGTGAGCAAAAGGACATGGAGCTCACCAGCCAGTGGAAGAGACTGACTTAAACACGTGAATGGGCATGTAAAGCTATGATCGTGAATGATGGGAGCCCACGATGGGCCCTCATTCAGAAGGCTGGGTCAGAGGAGGCATCTTGGAGGAACTAACATGTAAGCTGACATTCAAAGGCAAGCTGCAG